GTATAGGAGGAAGAGAGGAGAGGGCTGGGGGCCAGTGTGTGCCCCACTCACAGTGTGCTAAGCAAAGCTCCCCCCATCCCCCAACCAGCCTTCCTCCCTGTGACAGGCAGCGGGGTCATCTGCCTCTTAGTCATGGGTCTAAATCCTTCTTGCCTGCGGCTGGGATGTGGCCCTGGACTCACCCCTGTCTTGGGAGATACTAGGCCCCATCTGCTCTGAGGAGGAAGTCCTGGCCCCACTGGGCCAGATGCACAAACTGCCCTGGCAGTTGACCTGTCACCTGCAAGTTATCTCTTCCACCAAGAGTCCCTCTATGTGTCATTGCTTGTGCTAGGCCTGGGGGCACAACTGAGAAGCACGCTGGTTTCGGATCCCTTTGGGGGCCTAGGAGCTGAGCCCAGCCCTTCTCTGTGCAGACGGGCACCACCCTGGACATGCTGGCTCCCTCCAGCTTCAACAGCATCGACTAGGACTGGCAGCTGTGGCATTCTGTCGGCTGGGTATGGTGTGAACTGCAGGTGACCCTGCCGGAGCGGTGGACCCAGGACCTGTGCACAAGAGGGGTGCTAAGGATTGGCAGTGCCCATCCTATGCCATCATGGTCAGTGTGGCCAGGAACAGGTACGGCAGGTGGATGGGCATTGTTGCTGAACATGGGACCTCCAGTTGTCAGCCACAGCTTGTCTCCTGGGGTGGGACGGTAGGGGGCCCTGTCCTGCCCTGCCCTGGGGGCTGTGCCCTGTGTAGAGGAATAGGTGACCTGATCTACCCCATTGGGAGGCCATTTTTCCCATGTAGCTGGCAGGCCTCTGAGCCCCATGCTGCAGGTTATGTGAGGGAGTGCCCCATAGCAGGGCCCCTCCTCATGCCCTGACCTGCTACCTCCTCTCCATATCTCCTGTGTCTGCAGTGGGTGAACGGGATCAATGTGCTAGAGCATGAGGGGGGCTGCCTCCCCTTCAAGGGCAACATCAGCAACCTGGTCCAGGTGGGGACCCTGCCCTCCCACCTCCATGTCACTAATCACCATCAACAACACACTCACCCCCTCCCCGCTTGCCACCAGGGACCATCCGCTATATGACCGACACCTCCAAGTGGATACCATCCTGCCTCCACTGCCTGTACTCACCCACCCGCTCCACCCTGTGGTCTTCCTGCTACGGATAGGGTGGCCTTTGAAGATTGGAGGCCCTGGATCTAGGGAGGCTGTGGAGACATTCCAGCTGAGGTCAAAGGAGCCAGGGCAAGGACCCAGCACCCTAGATATCCCAAGGGTTACTCTGTCCAGAACACAGACTTTGACTTCTTCAACTTGGCAGGACTGCAGTGGTCTGTGCTTCTGTACACGACACCCACCACCTACATCCATGACATCACCATCACCACCGGCATAGAGAAAGACAGCGGTGAAGGCTTCTGGTAGGATCCTTTCTCAGTGGGGCCCAGGGTGGCTCTGTTTGGAAAGCTCTCCCAGGAAAAGCTTCTCCCAGCATCTCTAAACTCTCACAGGTTCCCATCCACCAATGAAGCTAAAATCCGAACTATGCAGGCACTGGCTCCCAAAATCACCTGTTTGGCTGGCCTCGCTTGGAGAAGAGGGGTCTGGTCTAAGGTCACACAGCTCAGGGTGGCAATCCTGTCCCTTCCCCACGGTGCTGCCCTCACTCTAGCTCCCCTTGGTACACATCGTACTCACGAAACAGGCAGCTTATGAGCTACTCCCATGGCCCAAGCCCCACCTGAGGCCCCTTCATATGCCCCCAGGCCGAGCAAATAGTAGTGTTGCCTGTCTGTGGTTTCACATTGCACTAATTATATATCCTAGTGCTTCTTAACTGTGTGACTTGATGACCGCCTCTCTCCATCCTTTAATGACCCTGTGGCCCCCGTGGCTCATGGGTGAAGGTATGCTGGGCCCAAGATGCCCCCTCCCAGGCTGGGCTTCCAGGACTCAGCTACTGGACAGTGACAGTCTGCCATGAGGGATAGGGTGGGACCAGGGCAGGGGCTCTCCTGGCTGCTGATACCTGTTCACCTGACCCCCAGCATTGCTGCCACCCACTATAGGTGACTAAAGAGTGGGCCCAGGGCACCTTCAGACTCAACCCCAATGATGAGGACAGCCAATGAGTGCCACCTGAAGGTAAGACCCCTGCAGCCTCATCACTTTCCTGGACTCCCCTCTCCACCTAGCCCTGGGCCACTTTGAGCATTAGCACCATCATTTTGTTTACTTTGCCATTGGCAGACAGCAGCGGAGACCTAAAGACATGGGCCAGAAGCAGTGGCTCATGCCTATAATCCTAGCACTTTGGGAGGCTGAGGTGGGAGGCTCGCTTGAGGCCAAGCGTTCTAGACCAGGTTGAGCAATACAGTGAGATTCTGTAACTACAAAAAATTATATTTTTAAAAAAAGACTTCAGCAGAAATGGCAAGAGATTTGGGCAGGACCCAGAGCTCTGGGGTAGGGAGGGAGGTTGGCAGGGCTGATGTTGGCACAGTCTATATGCCCAAAGGGTTGACCCCTGTGGGCATATAGACCATGACCCTGTGCCTCCCTTCACCTCCAGGAGCTCAGCTCATTGGCAAAACCTCATGGAAACTGCACATAGGACACAGCCAGAATGACCAGGTGTCTCTAGTCCCTCCAGCCCCCTGCTCCGTGCTGTTAGAGCTCAGCAGGGTCCTGGCTCCCCAGGGAAGCAGCATGTTGGCCTCCCTGAGCACCACCTCCTCCTCACACAGGTGGTCACGGACCTCAGGCTGTGGATGCTGCAGACCTGCTCCATGCTCTTGGGTCTCCTCTGGGAGCTCATCAGGACCATGGTGGAATGGACAAAGGTGTGAGTTCCCCAGGGACAGCCACAGGGCAGAGACAGGTGTGATGGCAGCCTAAACAGCAGATCTAGGTGGCAGGGCTGAACAGGGTGGGGGTGCCAGGCCCTGGGGGACAGGGGCATCCCAGAACTCTAGGATCGAGGCAGAACAGCCAGGAGTGGGGCATTTCCTGCAGACCCCAATACTCCCATGCCGGTCTAGCCCAGCAGGCAGGGAAGACTCACCCTTTGTGGGGCCTGGTGTGGTGGCTCACAACTGTAATCCCAGCACTTTGGGAGGCAGAGGCAGGAGGATCATCAGAGATCAGGAGTTCGAGACCAGCTTGGCCAACATGGTGAAACCCTGTCACTACTAAAAATACAAAAATTAGCTGGACATGGTGGTGTGTTACCTGTAATCATAGCTACGTGGGAGGCTGAGGCCAGAGAATCACTTGAACCCGGAAGGCGGAGATTGCAGTGAGCTGACATTGCATCACTGCACTTTGGCCTAGGAGATGGAGTGATACTCCGTCTCAAAAAATAAAAAGTAAAAAGAAAACTCACCCTTTGTGGATTTGAGGGAAGGAAGCTAAGGCACTATCTTGGCTGTGCCTGCAGCAGCCAGAGTCTCTCCCCACCCTGCCTGTGCCCCAGGTCTCCCATCCCATATTCCGTGTCCCCACCCAGCCCATCTGGCGGAAGACAGAGCCAAAGGATGCCTCCTGCTGGCCTCGTCCCAGGCTTTGGCTTCTGGGACCTGGCGTCTTTGGGTTTGGATTTGTTCCTTGCAGACCTGGAGGGGGAGCTGCTGAGGAGTCACCATGTGTTGTTAGAGACCCCTCCTCTTCCTCAACTCCCTGTGACCCCTGTTTCTCAGACCTGGGGGGAAACAAGGGCACACAAATTGTCACCCTGGAGGTGGAGTGGGGCTGCTAGGAGGAA